TTAGCTACAGTACAACATATCCTTACACGACCAACGCGGCATCAGGCTGTATAGCCATGGAAATTAAGCCAGGAACGTTCCTCTATAGTCAAACCTCGATTCTAAGGAGACATCACATTACATGCGATAATATATCGGAAGAAGCAAGAAACAAGGAGCAAGCGATCGGGTCAGGCTTGTGCTAGCCTCTTCTGCAGTAAAGCATGCAGCAAGACTGAACTTGGGTTCGCAGATGCTTTAGCGAGGCGAGCTAGAAGAAGGATCACAGGGACGAGGCAATTGTCAACGGCCTGCATCGTCGAAGCAAGATGATGGAATGAAGCTTTCTCCGCATAGGCAATGAGACGCTTGAGTGTAGTTTGATGGATGCCAGATTTGTTGTTAAACGCGCTGTCCACGATATGAGTGCAGCTCCGTACCATCTCCTACGTTAGCAATTCGATCCGATTCAAAGTAATACAACGCGACAGTTTCTCAATGGGTATTTGACTTGTTCATTATTACCACGAAGCCCTCTCAAAGAGGCATTCGCACCACAGTGCCTCCCCAGCAGGGTCAGCCCGTGTCATCCTATACGCGAATATTCAAACACATTATACACAAGCTCTTTGCCCGGTCCACATAACAGCTCTTATGACTTTCGTATCGGGGGTCATGTCTTGTCCGCCTTGAAATCGTACTGCTCGGCTTCGCTCCAACTTCGAATCAAAGGGGGGTATCTTATGCCATGCCTTTGCCAGCTTGCCTCTGTGGTGGGCGTTAGGAGGCTGTATGGGGGGAAAAGTTGGGTGGTTGGGGAGGTTGGGAGAACGTACCTTCTTGTTGATGAACATGGCAATGACGAGGATGGCGACGAGGAAAACAATGACGAAGACGACAATGACACCGGGCTCACGCTGGGCCCAGTTCTTGTCGCGCTTGGCGAGCTGGTGGAGAGCGTACTCGGCGCGAGCGGCGATGGGCATGCTGATGGCGGCCATTGTGTTTGTTTGTGGGTTTCTGGGGTGGAGATGTTAGAAAGGTTGTTCGTACGAGCAGCTGTGAAGACCTGGAAGGATTCCCGGAGCTGGAGAAGCACAGGCCAGGCGCATTGGGCGCGTGCGATTCACTCCCAAGAGACGTCTCGAGCGTGACGATCTTCGGCCAAGGCTTGTCGCGAGACTGGTCCCGATGGCGGTGATGCGATGCGATGCGACACGACGCGACGGGATGCGACGACGTGACGCGATATCTCCCCGGCAGCTCCAGAGCAAGGCGGCATTGAGCTTACATTTACGAATTGAATCGGTCCACTGTTTGAATATCGAGCTGAAGGGAGCTTTGTTTTGGCTGTTGATGGCAACGGAAGCTGGTCAGCGCGATCGGATCAAACCCACGGAAACGGTCGCTAGGCAGAGGGACTCGGCGATGTTTAATTGAAAGGCGCAGGTCGACAGCGATGCAGCATCAAAGAGTGAGAACGAAAAAGCTCTTAATAGCAAGAGGGTGAATGTCCGCTTTTAAATGCGCCGGCTCGCCGAAAATTTCTGCACAGTTGATGAGGCATTTTGTTTGGCCCCGGGTCCTAGCGGGTTGTCCGGGAGGCTCCAAGCTTGCAAGGGTGGGTGCAGCGTCGCTTCGGCCGGGGAATGGGCGCGGGCCTGGAGGGAGGGAGTAGGGAGCGGTACTTACGTCTGAGGCTCGTCCGAGTGGGTAATGGATAGTGGGCGCTGGGGGATGTTGGAGACTCGGGGCGAGGAGCAGCGTGAAGAGTAGATGAAGGTTGGGTCGGGCCTAGCAACCACCCGCGAGGGTTGAGGGAGCTAGGAGGGAGCTACCCAGTGCAGCCAATGGCGCGACATGCCATCATTTCGTCGTAGATGAGCCGACGATCGCAGCCTCACGTCGGAGATACTCACGTTCGGATGTGTAGTCACTATCTGCTAGTTGCCTGTCATGAGAAGAGCCGCTTTAGAGCTTCACCGGTCGTTGATACCAAGCCATCCACCGTAGCACTCCCAGCACTCCCCATGAACCTCTCGCTCGCGCCTCCACACAGTTGCCCAGGTGCGTCTGGCGCTGCAAGCCGCTGACGCTACTCGTCGGCTCCACTCAGCCAGTACCCCTGCCACCTCTAAACCGTTCTTGTGCGGCAGAAGCAGCATCGATGTCATCGCCCATTGCTTATCGTCCATGACTGATGAAGGCGGCGCGAACCCACTGCACCCTCGGATATCTCGCCAGGGCCGTTTGACACCAGCCGAACCGTGGGCAGCATCAACCGGGCAACAGCAGGCCTAGCGCACCGGAGCCAAAAACAACGCACGTCAATAATGCCTCATTTCCAGACGCTGGCTTCGCGTCGACAGGGCGACGCGCTACGCCGATAGCGCCCAGGCAGACTGGAGACGCGTGGGGTGGCCTTGGTAGCTTGCTGCCGGGATCCTCACTAAGCTTCTGCTGTGCCTGTGCCCCCGCATCTTGGCGAAGCATGGCACACGAGCCCTACACGGCCTTTGAAACGCTGCAGAGCATCACCGTGTCACAGGCACCATCAGCAGAAGCAAGTGTCGCGAGCTGCACGCGGGCCTTGGAACGTCTGAGTTGTGTTGCCGCGTCCGCTATCGCGACGCCGCCCGTACTGCCAATATTGTTGCTATCCGGGATCGTGGAATAGCGTCGCCACATGACTCGGCTCCCATGTGACGGCCGTCGCTGTTGGCATAAATCCTTATTCAGCCCATCATAACCACCGCAATGTGCAGCCAGCCATCGAGATATGCCGTCGCGCGCACCAGCTCCTCCACACTCGCGCTCAGCGGCAGCACCGCTCCGTGCAACACGGCCTGCGCCAGCAGCGGACTGCGTCTGCTCGGAAATAGTGTCGGCAATATCGCGTTCAGTGCTGTCCCGATGGTCTGTGGTTGCCCTGTCTGCCGTCAGCGCCTTCCACACCTACACCGCAATTACACGTACTAGACGACAGGTTCGGCGTCACCAGCCTCTGCACTACTCTCAAACTCCCGGGTGCCGTCTCTTCTTGCACCCCTTCCGACGACGCGTGTGGGAGATAGAGCCGCACTGGTAGATGTCTCAGGTTGACTCCTTGCGGGTTCAGCAGCTTCTGGTTGATGGGGTTGTACACCGCAAAGTCGTGGTTCTTCACTCCGCTCCAGAGCTGCGTGCTGTCTTCTTTGCTTAGAAACATGACCGTCTTTCCTGTTCCTGTCCTGAGATAGTCGGCCTCCTTCACGCTGTGGATGAACAGATCATGCATATGCTTATCGTCTTTGTCGAGCTGAACCAGCTGCTCGGACGGGAAGTCGGAGAAGTGTACTGTGAGTCGCCATGGTAAATGTTGACGCTCTTCCTCTGTACTCTCGATCTTGTGCGCTTGCTCAGCCTCTGTACCCGTGTCTGAGGGATACGCGGGCTCAGCGCCAGAGTAGAGATCGTAGAGGAGACCCAGTGGATAATGCCATTTCAGCGGCACGTCTTCGTAGGATAACCATGCGTCTTTGGGCGTGACATCCGGGTAGATGAGGCTGCGTGCGAAGAAGGCATGTAATTTGTGTATGAGCAGCCCGAGATACGATATCCGTGGAAATTGTATCTACCTCTAGTCAGCCATAGCACATCCGATGTATCATCGCCAGACTATGTCGACACTGCACGTACTAAGTAAGGATCCGACTCGTCGTACGTCCGACAGTCGCCCTTGTGCAGGCGTATCTCGAGCGGAATACTCCCGTTCCAAGTGCTCTGGCGCAGTCTACTCGCAACGTCTCTCTCAGCCATGGGCGCGAAGCATCCGAGATGGCAGATTCGCCAGCCGCCGTTCTGGTAGCCTAGGCGCAGCTGAGCTGATGGATAGTGGGGTAGGTCGCGGGCGCAGGCAAGGCGGAAGGCGCGTTGATGGCGGGGTATGCAGGGGGAGCTTGGGCCTGACGTGCAGGAAACCCTGGGTCTTTTCGCTCGTGCGTGCGTCTCTGCGACAACCCCAGACCGACTGTCGTAGGAAGATGGGCGCGGGTCGTGTCTTGTTCTCCACCCACAACGCATGTATGACGTGACGCCGTAGATGGGTGACTTACTTACGCACGACAGCTGGACCATGGATGTGGCTCTTAGCCGCAAACGCTCGCGCCTGACTGTTGACGAGGACGAGGACGAGGTCCAGCGGAGGAGGGAGCCGTCGCCGGCTCTGCCGCCACTGGGTGATGCTCTGAAGAGGTCGAAGACGCAGTGCGAATTGGAAGAGCTAGATGTTATAAGTCCGGAGGAGGCATGGAGCGTGGATGTGGATGCGATACTGGGTAGCAGTACGCTCGCGACTCCTGTAGGCAGTATGCTGGAAGCGCATAATAACTGGGCAAGGTATAAGAGGCAGGCGTCAATAATTGTGTTGTGTGTGCAAGGGAATGTTCAGGTCCATTACGACCTGCTTTGGTAGGATCATTCCGCATCGTTCCAGGCCACCACTGACAGCGAACAGCTCCGCTCTACCAGACCTCTACACGCTCTCCCCATCTCTACAGCCCTTCGTCCTCTGCCACGACCCCTCGACACATAGACTTCCCTCCTCCGCGCCCTTCTCGCTACCCCTCCTCCAAGCCGCGACTCCTTCGAACAACCACTTCGTTCGCCTAGGCCTACTACATCCCCTCGGCGGAGGCAAGTTTCCGTTAGATGCACTCGTCGTGCTGGACAAGAGGGGCAGAAGGAGGTTGGTGTTGCCATTTGGCTGGGGTGCTGGTAAACATGCGGACACACCTGCGGGTCGGAATATACAGCTACGGTTGATGGCGTTGCTGAGGAGTTGTGTCGCGATGCTAGAACAGGAATAGGAAACGCTGTTATGGGTATGCTGATTGCATACACCTACCCTGAGAGGACTCTGGGAATTGTGATGGAGCAGCGTGATGAGTTTCAAGATGTTTCATTGGATGTGTAGAACTACATGAACGCCATCCTCCTGCTATCCTCCCGGGTGTCATCGCTAGACAACCACCCATGAACGCCTATGCCTCGAGGGTCTCCGCGTCATCAAACCCCTTGATCTCCTCTATGACAGATCTAACTTTACTATGGATGATATTGAGGTAAGTCGGCAGATATCCCTCAGTGGTAACCATCAGAGTTCCGTACACAGGATTGCCATCGAAGTCTTCTCGATGCGCAACAATATGAGTAGCGAAGGCGCACATGACCTTCTGATACTGTGGCACCGACAGTGCCTTGTTGCAGAAATCCGGGGTGAAGATCTTGTGATGCTCGACCAAATTCTTGAGCTGTTGCACTGTGAGTCCTTCTCTCGCAAGGGCTGCTCTCATGAATTTGAAAGCAAAGCTTTGCAGTACGTCCATGCCCATCTCTGTCGCGCAGAGATAGACTTGCAAATGGAATTCGAGTGTAATTGGACCGTCAGGATTGTCTTGCGGGGCGTCTTTTATCGGTTCGGTGACAGAACTGGCAATGATCATGACAACCGTGGGACTGTAGTTCTTGGTCGGGAGCTCCGCGAGATTGGTTTCGTACTACATTTCAGTTAGTCAAATGGCCTGTGAAGATTTTGCCACCAACTCACATTGTTCTGAAGCCAGGAAGACACTGCGATCGCCATTTCCGTGGGTACGGTGAAGGTGGTCACACCGTCAGAGCAAGGGAGAGGCAACATTTGCTTCACCGCACTGAGACGCTGGTCGCGGAGCCTATAGAAAGGTAAGCGACAGTAATGTTGTGGGTGTCCGTGGGAAGGCCAGCTTACTTCTTGTGGAGCTCACTGCTGTGCATGTCCATCTCGGCGACTGATAATTCACCGAACGCATGGTGCAGAAACTCCACATCGGCCTTGATGTTTCCTGTTCTCATCATTTCATCTTGAACGGTAGCCGGCTGCAGCTTCTGTGTTCCCGACATCGTATCCCGTAGAGAGCCTACTTCCTCTGGCTGTGAAGGCTCGTCGGTAAGGGCTATTGGGTAAGGGCGTTCTCAGCTGGCGCAAGCGGTTGTCGGAGATGGAGATGCGGAAGCAGGTACTCACGTTAGAGGTCACCGTGTTCTGGTTGCCTAGCTAGCGCCATATCGCCGTTTGCTTGACCCTGGAAGAGCAATCAGAGGGAATGGCGGCGAAGGCCGTGGACTGCGATGCTGCGATGACGTACTTGATGGGGTGCTGCATATTCACTTTGACGGTTTGATCACAGGTATCTAGTAGGAGATGGCCGCTCAAGCGCCCTGAGAATTTTGAAGCCTGTACCGCCTACATGATAGTTGAGGAGTCTCATTCTATGCACATTGACTGTGCCAGGAGTATCTCAGCTAGAAGCACAGTCACAATACAAGAGGTATAACAAGCGTTGAATTATACATCCTCGTTGGATTCATCTTTTACCTATGCACGTATGTACTACAAAAGATTACATAGACCTGTGAGCTGAGACTCCGTCGTCTATAAACGTCCCTGTCGCTGCCATGCTCCCTATTCCTCCATGCGATCTTCATCCTTGACTTTAACGTCTCCGTCAGCAGGCGCATCAGTCATGCTGGTGTCTTGCTTGTTCTCACGACCACCAGTCTCATCTGATGTGCTACGAGCAGCGACAGTGGGTACGAGGGCGGGAACTTGGGGAACCTGGATGGTGGTGTTGCCCTCTTCGAAGCTGTATTCGATACGTGGGACCTCGGTGTTGTCGTCCATGCCGTGGTCGGATGAACTGATCAGGGGGATGAAGCTAGAGTCATCGACGTTCTCGGGAACAGCGTGCTCACTAGCATCTTGACGGTCGACTTTGGTCTGGTCCGAAGTCGGCTGATCACCTCCTTGGTTGCGCGCAGTTCGCGGAGCAACGGGACTAGGACCTTGTGGAGTATGAGAGGCGAACGGAGGATTGAAGTCGGCGAAGAGATCCGGTCCATCGACATCTTCAGGGCCATCGGTCTCACCGCGGACTGTCTGGCTCCGTCGTAGGCTCGAGCCTGGACGAGGGGTACGCAGAAGACCTGTCGCCGGGTTCATTGCAGACGAGGCTGCCTTCTCACCTTGAGACGCCTTGGATCCGCCCATAGACTGCCAAGACCTGTCCAGCTCAGATGGCGTGGGTGTAGGCGGCAGTGCTTTGTTGGTACGATTGGCCGAGATTCCATGGTCACGACGACGGGGGGTAGGCGAATCGCTGTGGTCCTCGACAGTAGGTTGGTAGGTATTGCTCGAACCAGGGCGCTGGAGAAGGCGACCGCCGATATTTCCACGCTGACCTTGTCCTGTACCGACAGTACGCATCTTGGGGGTTCGCATGTCAAGCGAAGGATCAGCCGACAGTCGCTTCTTGCTCGCTGGGTGCTGATCCGCGGGGGTGTAGGTAATGGCGTGCTCTTTGGGGTTATGTTGGAGGTTGTGTACGGTCCAGTCTCGCTCAGCCGCCGCCTCGTACTTCGCATATCGAGAGGTTCCGAGGTTTCCGAGGAATTCAAGATACTTTGTACCACCTTCTTGGAGCCAGCGAGGACGATGGAGTGCTCCACAAGCCGCGACCACGTTCAGAAGCTTCTCTTCGATGTGCTCTGACGGCTCGTACAACTTATGCTTCTCCAGAATGTTGATAAACTGTTCGGCAGTAGGAGAGTCCGTGAGGAGAGAATTCCGGATGTTCCTTCTAGCAATGTGGAGGAGTTCCGGCATCTCCATCTCTTTCGCGCAGAGATATACCTTGACGTGGAGCTCTGCTAGAGGTCCTTCAACACGTACGGTGATACTGTTGTCTTCGATACCAGGTTGAGCTTTCTTCAGGTGAGTCAGTTGGTAGTTGGCGAGCTCTTGGGTGTCGTCTAGCTGGTACTCGTCGTCAAGTATGTGTTGTACCATCATCTCGACGACGATGTAGTCATATCCGTGGAGAGTCACCACACAAGGGGCGTTTCCTGCATCGTCGACCTGTCGAGTAGTTAGTTTAGGTTATGGACACGGCGCGAAGTTGTCGTGCGTAACATTGCGGAAGAACGGCTGTGCGCGGAGTTAGAACTAACCTGCTTTCCGATCTTGTCTGAACCGCCTGTGGCAAGATCCTGTGGTAGAGTGCAAGTCGCGCTCTCAGTTCCCAATTTTGCGACAAGTGTCACGCCAGAGCGTGCGTTCTTCACGATGCGACCACGCCACCTGCCTTTGTCAGTGATACATTCGTCCAGTCGACATATGTTTGATAGTACCTTGGGCCGCACTCATGAGCCATCGGGGATGACTTCGAAATCGCCTGCTGGTTTGAGTGGATAGCCATAAACTCCATGTCCGCGCCGGGCCCGCTGTTTCTCAACGCCATTGCTTGAGTCTCATCGCGCGTAGACTTTGCGACATGCTCACTGTCGCTCTGACTGGTTTGTTGGCTAGCCATGTCGACTCTTGGACCTGTGGAGGATGTGTAGAGGCTGGGTCGTTTGGACATGTAGACAACAGGAAGTGAAGGGGCAGGGTGGAAAGACAATGAGCGTCAGGACTAGCGTCGATGGAGGAGCAATCACCTATATAGGCTTCCGTTGTGCGGGGGTGCGGAGTTGTTTGTCGTGTGTGGGGTTGTAAGCGATATGGGTCTTTCACTTTCTGTGCGTTAGCAGTGAGCGGCCCTATCTAAAGCTGATATTTGATTAGCATGTATATATAGCTCTCAATTTCCACAGTACTCTGACTCCCCGCTCTGAAATAGCTTCTAACATGCAATGGACCCCTGGGTGGTAGAAGTATACGTGTGTCCTTGACTACGCTATGCCATAGTGGTGCTCTATGGGTCAATGTAAGTATTTTTTGCGTCCACACCAAGGCCGGGCGTTCGGTTCTGTGCTCGATCATTCTTTTTTTGCTTTTGTTTTGCCTTCCGGTGAGAGTGAAAGGACAAACGTGAGTCCTTTGCGGCCTGCTAAAGTGGGGCTTGCCCACCCGTTGCCAACACTGTTTTGATGTCTTTCTGCTGACGCTCTCACACCAAGACCTTTATACTATTCCTCAGGACAGCGCTGAACCGTGGCTATGGCGAATCAATCTCCGAAACCAGACAGCAAAGGCGAGAGCTCGGAACTGGATCCTGCAACAACACTAGTCAATGATGCATCGACACCCATTCTATCTTCAGGCTTGAATGCACAGCCAGAGCACGAGAGTCGCGAGGCTGTCAAACGCGACAAAAGTGCGGACCAGGGGAGTTTGGAGACAGAACCGCGTGCTCAAGAAGCGCACCCACGTACGACAAACCCAGCACTGTCCGCCAGAGATCTGGCTCGTGTTGCGACATCCAACCCAGACCAACGCGACGGTGAAGAAGCTCTACGAGCAGGTCCGTCATTCAACACCCCTCATGAAGCATGGAAGCTGACTTAACAGACGACGGAGCTCGCACCCGTACAGACGCTGTTACGATATCGCTGGCGACTCTGAAGACCCTCCTGGGCCACATCTTCGAGGGCAAAAGTGCCAGACTACCACAGCCACAACTAGTTTGCGCTGAGTGAGTATTGATTGTGTTGCACTCCTACGTGCGCTGATAAATCGCAGTCGTGGCCAAATGGCCCTCAGCAAGCGACTCGGTTGTGACTTCACACTCGTCGTAGATGAAGTTGCGTTCGACGTGAACTCGGGCTTCCTTATTGCAGGCTCGGAAGTGCTAGAAGGATATGCTTTTCCTGGCGGTGTAAGTACAAGGCTAGTGCAAATGGACAGAATAAGTACTCACGGCTTTTAGGGTACACTTAATACTCTTACTAGGGAGTGCGAGTTCAACGCACAAGTACACAGTCCTACGATGGTCGACCGCCTCGTCGAATTCATATACACTGGAACCTACAAACTGGACAAGGGCGGACGAGCGACGATGCTACACCATGCGACAAAGTTACCCATCGGCAAGACGAAGGCGAGCTATCCCATGAAACTGGAGGCTGCGGCGGAATTCCATCTGGAGATGTACAAAATGGGCAGAGACCTCCGATATCATTCCTTGGTAGCCGTCGCGCATAGCAAGATGGCAGAGGATATGTTGTGGAAGAGCACCGTCGACGTGGGCATTGCGAAAAGTCTCGTAAACTGGATATACGGCTCAGCTCAGAGGCTACATGATACAGCTGAAGAAACGAACGATACGCTCGGGGACGACAACCTGAAGGAACTGGTCGTAGCGTGCATCCTGCGGCACGTTCATCAGAAGCTCTGGGATGGGGAGGAGGTAGAAGGGTTCAAGCAACATGTCCAGGCATACCCGGCTTTGGAAGTAGATTGGGAGCTTGCCGAAGAGGAGTACAAAGAGCTGCTGAGGAAGCGACCCGAAGCTAAGAGAGGGGCGAAGAGGGCGAGACGCGAAGAGCAACATCAGCAGGAGGTTGCGAGTATGCTTCAGCTCTTAGAAGGTCCTACTCTTTTGTAGACGAGCTACTATCGAAAGCTGCGATCTCCCGCATCTTGTCCTACAGTTCCGATACTTCCGGCTGAGGAAGCCACGAGATGACGATCCGTAGAGAGTGGCATGGCGGCAGCCGGGACACAGGTTGCAGGGCTACTTGCAGGGTGTTAGAGCGTGTAATCGATCTAAACCGTAGCATAGCCGTAGAAAATCTGCTCAATGGCCGTGCTGCTGAGATGAAGCTTGTGATGCGTGGTTGCAGGAGGTGTGAAGGTACGTCACTGTGAGGGTGGTTGGCGACTAGCGTGCTTCCCCACCCTGTCGCGATGGCATTCGTGGACGCGTCTCTGAACGGTTGATCACCTCTCCAACAAACATGCGGATCTCGACACCATTCATCAGCTGAAATGCGGATTGACAACGATGGCTTCCTTCTGTGATTTAAAGTTCCGAAAATTACGCGTGCAGATGCCATTCCTTCAGCTGCAACAAGCCTTAGCAGCCTCCTCATCGCATGAAGACGCGTCTATTTTTCGTGCGTTCGCGATCTCGTCTCGCGATGAACATTGCGAATACTTTGGGTCCAACCTCGGGTCAGCTACTTATTTGATAGCGCCGATTTGCTCGCGGCGTCTGGCGTGATACCTAGGTAGCGTGTCCAGGGCCCGTGCATCTTGTCTGCACGGGGTCTCATCTTCGTGCACATTCTCTATCAACTTGCGCCACTACACACTAACTCTCCTCATGCCACCGGTTCGCACAGAGAAGAAGAACAGCTCAACGAAAGCTACTCCTTCCGGCGGTCTCGCAGCCTTCGGCTTCAGACCTGCCCCGAAAGAGGAGGTCATAGCCGCAGCGGCCCGGGCAAAGCCTCCAGTTGTATCACGATCCGCTGCAGACCTAGTAGCGCAAGAAGTGCCGAAGCCAAAACCTCGTCTTCCCAAGCCTCTCGTTAAAGGAGTAAAACACGCCTCCTTCGGAGACTCCAGATGCGACTGGGACGACAAGTACCACAAGATTATTGGGACGTCGACACGGAAGATCACTTTTGGAAGCGCCTTTGAGCTGACAGAGTAAGCATCATACTTTACTTCCTCTCTACTGGGCATACCGTGCAATACTAAACCGCGTTTCCTAGCAAACACATCGACGACATCCTCTTCCTGGGTCCTAAAGTCTGCGACACACTAACGGAAATCCATCTCACCTACGTGGATGTTGACTACAACGCTCACAACGGTATTAATTCCTGACTATGCAACGTCTTATAGACTTATTTCTGACTATGACGCTAGAATGTCTTGTGACGGACGAGAGTATCAAGCTTCTTGCTAAGGCTTGCAGAAACCTAAAGAAGATCTCTCTACCCGGGTCTAGGAGTTCCAAGCTTGGTGATCAAGGCTTGATCCATCTCATTTCGTTCTGTCAGAACCTCACCCATCTGGAGTTTTCCGGTTCTGGCGTTACCGAAGTCACTTTCGAGCAATGGATTGCTCACCCAGATTGGGCGCCGAATTTGAAGAAACTACGCCTCAACGACCTCTCTTACAATAGAAAACCCATGCGTGCGTTGCGAGAGTTTGGAAGGACGCGACCGACACTACCCATCGAGCTGGTTACCCGTTCACAATTCAAGAAGTGGGATACGTGGTATCTAGAGACCAGTCACGATACGTACAAGAACGGGAGAAAGGTGTCTTCTAGTCTCCCTACTGTTACTTGAGCTACATTTAGGCGCGCTCGGCCACACATATTTGTTTCAGTTTACCTTGTCTTGCTTTGGGTGAGCAGCTTCTTGTACCTGACAAATTATCTAAGATACACAAATGTTTATAAGTTTACAGGACTAGGAACGGTTTGCTTACCTCGAGGTTGCAGTGGGTTGAGCGAGTTGCATTAATATCGTAGATGATGATTGGCTGTTCTGACAACTCCCGCGGAGAAATCCAAGGGCTCAAATTGCTGCACCCAGTTCTTTCCTCAGAGGTTGTCAGCTCGTCGGTGTGCCACACTAGCTGCCTAGGCGTTCGGAGGACATGCGCTGCACAATAGGCTTACGGCTTGGAACCCAGGTGGCTCGAAGTCTTACACGATGAGCTCCCTAAAACAAAGTCTCACTACTTCCAAGAAGAGCAAATCCAATAAAGTCTTACAAAATAGCGCATCACTACATGTGTCAGAGAATTGGGAGGTTGGTGAGTCTCACCGAGTGTCAGCCGTAGGAACAAGACGGCGCGATGCGGAGCGCGCTAGAGACGCGTCGACACGAACACAATATAAAAGGTGAGATATCCGAAACCTTCCTTCCTGTGCTCGATATTGTCAGTCTTTACTTTCCTTCTAGCAGTTATGCCGCCGACTCGCACGCAGAATACGAACGGAACTCCAAAACGCAACTTCGCCAAACTAGGCTTCCCCGTCGTGTCACGAGACGAAGCTTTAGCAGCCGCTACGAAGGCAGTGAAAGCGACAACTCCAAAGCCGCCCCTTCGCAAGAAAACATCTAAACGATCCTGTCGCGTGAAGACGCAGTCATGCCCAACACGGACTCGCGACTCACCGCCGTCTCCTCCTGCCAGTCTACCAATAGCGTCAACTGTACTTGAAGAAAGCAAAGGCGAGACTTCTGGCTCTGGTGTTGATAGGAAACGCTTTGGAAGAAACCATGATCTCCGTGGATGTCCATGTGGGCGCGATTGTGCCGCTACACTTCTGACTAATGTCCAAACATGGCGGAAACCAGATAATCTTCCACTCGTAGATCACACAGCTATGGAACCAGAATGTCATAATGAATTCGACGATTGGAACATAAGATGCGATCGGTGTGGGCCGGAACGACAGCTCGATGTAGGCTTGTAAGTCAAAAGGATTCGACGTGTCTTGCTTGGTAAAAATTCCGCTAACACCTTGAAGTATGGACGACGAGGCTCTCATCGCAGTGGAAATGAACGGAAGGATAAAGCATATCTACTCTGGAGGTACGTAAGTCGAAAATTTTACCTGATATTCCACAAGAAGCAGCTGTGCTGATAGCGTACCCAGTAACACCACCATTCTATAACTATACTAAAGAAGAAGAAGAGAAAAGACGTAAGGATGCTGAACGACACACAGAGCAAAGTCTGATTCATCTCATCCACCACTGTCCCGGCTTACAGTCCGCTCACTTAGACCATTGCCGCAGTCTTAGCGTCCTGTTCGCACTGATGTCTTCGTGTCCTTCACTCCTTAGCATAAAGTTATCCGGAAATCTACGAAACCCCTGGCCAGTCGATTTCGAGGCCCTCGCTGAGCATCCAGAATGGGTACCTCATCTGCGGGAACTGAGTTTATCGTGGACTGGGCTGTCGAACTATACTTACGGACGAATAGACGAGGGAATGGGGCCAGCCCTGCGCAAACTTGCGAATGCGAGACCGAATCTCATCTTCAGCATTACTTCGGGTGTGAAAGTAATTTGGGCCAGGGTCCCAAGCTGGATAGAATTCAAGTAGTATAGAAAGCATAGGAATACGATGGGTTCGACGGTGTTCGAATCCAGACGACACGAAGAGGCTTCGTCCTGGATTTCAAGATATAGCTGAGTTAAAGCAGTCATGTCCTGTTTCGTCCAGAACAAGAGATATAGCAGTCGTATGATTTTCTATTGAGAATACTAGCAGGTCATAAAGCAAGAGCATCGGCCAAATCACTTGGCTCGCAGCCATCCTATCTCCGCCGGTTTCCACACCTACGCATTCTCTCGATGAACCCTCTGCTCCTTCTCACCCAGCGGCCCCTCCACACCTGGATGAACACTCTTTCTCCTCTTTTCATCTCTCTGTTGTCGACTTTGATCGAGGCTCTGCGCAAATTTCGAATTGGCTCTGATCTGCGGACCTTTCCAGTACACGATGTAAATGGGAAGGGTGACCAGGAAAGCAAGGCAGGCTAGAATAGTGGAAGCGTATTGCAGCGGCCGGCCAGGGATGTTCGAGTAGAGCGGTGTTGAGTATAGAGAAGCGATACCGGCTAGAGCGTCACGAGCGAGATCGTTGCCACCGGTTGCCGAGGAAGCGTAGGGGCCGTATGCGGCTGTTTGGTAATCGATTGAAGACTGGTAGATTGCATACTGGGAATCGTTAGCCAACGAATATTGCATGTTCAGCTCGGGAACTTACGTTCGCCATGCCAACCATTGCCGAGAAGATCATCGGCGCGATCCAAGGAATGCCATAATCTGGGCCAAGTGACGTCCAAGCAAACCCAAACAAGCCGATAGTCTCCAGCGGAGCGAGGAACAGTAACCACCAAAGTCGGGCTTCCGGTTCGACTGATCCTGGATTCTGTCGTCGTTTCTTCCGGAAACTGATAATCGACGGCATGTATGAAGCGTAAGCTAGGAAGTAACTGATCAAGATGGGAAGGAAGGCTAGACCTGCGCCAACGACGCCAAAGCCCCATTGTTCGTAGACGGGACCAAAAGATTCCAAGAATGTGAAGATCAGGGCGTCGCTGAAACCACTGAGGAGTGAGAGCCATAGAACGATTGGTTCGGTAAAGAACATGTAGAAAGGTCTATCTTATCATTAGCATCGAAGCCATCAAGTCTTGAAGCCGTTACGTACCTCCAGAAGATAGTGCCGACCTCTTTAAAGCTCATCTTATGGCCACCTCGGATCTCATTCGGACCATAGATGTTCGGATCTTCACCTGTCTTACGTCTTCTCTTCGCCTCGCGGTCCAATAGGATTGTCGAGCGAGTTTCGGGGTTGCAGACAAAGTGAACGAGCTGGACGAAGCCTCCGATGATGAGCTGGACCCAGAATATCCACTCGACCGACTTGTACCTGGAGAGTTAAGTCAACAACTGTCAACAAAACTTGTTAATGATGTACTCACCTTTCTACAAACGCTCCGATGATCGCACCAACAACGGACCCGCCCACAGATGATAGCACTAGGAATGCGACAGCAAACTCTTGTTCATCCGGCTCCCACATGTCGGCGAGTACACCAAGCGTGACCGAGCCGCCAGCCGTTGATAAGCCTCCAAGCGTCCGGACCACCACATATGTCGCATAGTTCTTCGACAAAGCGGCTGGTATTTGCCAGAGGTTGACAAGGAACAGACTGAGTTGCTGGATGGGCCATCGTCCATACTCTTCTGACCAGGGAGCCCAAAGTTCGCAACCGATACCGTAGGCGATCAAAAACGCTGCCTGTGGGACGCGAGCTGCTTGTTCGCTGACACCATGATGTTCAGACACGGCGCTGACGGCATGCGAGTACATGGACGCATTCGTGTTGATGCTGATTTGGATGAAGAAGACGACGATGAGGATCTGCCTATCGTGGAATCATTGTCAGCGCCGTACAATGAACATTGCAACACGGAGAGAGCGATCGCGAGGAGATTGTAAGCCCATGGTAGGCTTTCGAGATGCGCCGCCACAATGGTCGGGTCTCACGGCAAAGCGGCATCCAGACAAGAGACATAAGCTCAACTCACCATTTGCGCCAAGTTGGGAAAGAATAACCAAGCTTGTCCCAAGCATCACTGTCTTGTAGCTCGACTTTGTCGCCTGTGATGATTCGGTCCGTCTTCTCTTGCTCAAGTTCTGTGCCTTCGCCATAGTTGGGGTCGCGCTCGGTGTCAGGCACAGCTGTCGGCTTGCCATCGTCTACGGTAGCCATATTGGAGTCCGCACGTACGTAGGAGGATGATTGAGAGAAAGGGGTGTGGAAGGCGGAAAACGAAGAAGTGTACGAGATATACTTCACACCATCTCGCCCACAGTGCATACGCCTCTTCGCCTTTCGCTCACCCTCTACGCGACATCAGGCTGCCCGTTACCCCGTGCCTCTGATGTCAAGAGGCGGCTGGCTACATCTTCGGTAAGCTTACTCCGCCAATGTGAGGCTTGTCATTCTGAGCCAAGGCATACACAGCCGTGGCAGCCAAGAGTAATCAACTGATCGCGGGGTAAATAAGGGTGCATCGACCGATGATGGGGAATGCGATGTGCGTGATGTTTCCCATGTTTGGTCGATGCGGGTGTTGGGCCAAGAGAAGGAATGAGGCATGGCGTCATAGGCGTTCTGTACGCTGCGGTTACGCGGCGTCGACCAGGAAGTCGGATCCTGCTCATACAGTCGGTGTATGCAGAGTACCTGGCGCGGAGTTTGACGCCGGTTTCCGTGATGTCATGCACCCAAGCAGTTGTTTAGGAGATGAGTGTGAAAGGATGTCGACACGTGGTGGACGGGCCCACGAATGGACGGCAGGCGCGCTAGGCGCACGCGACCTGGCAACACCGATCAGAGAGTGGTAATTCGCGGCATAGATGGGTAAAACCCGACATGTACCTCATAGGGATCGAATTACTATTAGGAGCACTTTTGCGACCGACTATCGTCCACCAGCTGTGCCATATTTACCGTTGCCCTATCTGACTACCTCCCCTGCGGGCTCAACAGCAGCGCCGTTATCGCATCAACACACGCATAGAACCTCTGTCCCACCTCTGGCTGGGCGAGGTATGCCGAAGTCTTCTCCTTAATCAGATCTTCGTGACTCCACTCCTCCAGTGGCACATCCTCCAACCCCGTCACATCAAACCGAAAGTACTTCATCCAATTGCGCTCCATCAACGCAGCATGTTCGGCTTCGAATCTATCACCCCACGATCTTGCTTCAGCCTTCCTATCCTCAACGCTATTCGCCATCTCGGGAATCTCGTTTTTGCGATTCAGGCCGACGCCCGTACCGACTGAGACAATGATCATCATGTCGTTCGCATATCGGAACAGCTTCCTGCATTCATACAGGATGTCGCGGACTGGATTGTTCTTTGTAGTCCCATGGTCAACGAGACCCTTTTCAATCACGAAGCGTTGCGGTACGCCTGGCTCGGATTGCACGTATCGTGGCGCCGCTGAGGTCGCCTTCATCGCTTGCCATATGGGCATGTTGGGTTCCAAGTCCGGTCCAGTTATGCGCCGTGTTTGGTAAGATCGGATAAGAGCAGCTTTGTTCGTGCCTTCACTTCGTTAGTGAATCTCACCACGCTTCTCACTTCAGTACGTACCGATATCCATTTGTGTCGTAATTGCGAAACTTTATCGAGTCAGTATGTACGTCGCGGATGAATAGGGTTTACTCACACGTCGCCCGAGTCGGGCCGTCCATCTAGGAGTACTTCGTCTGCGCTGCCTAGCTCCTGCTGAACCACGCTCTTGATCTCGTTCTCTAACGCGCTGTCGTCAGGCTTCTGTATCTGTGCATGAGGGTCGAGATATCTGAAGTAGGCCCTTTTATTGTCGAACACTTGCTTCGCGATCTGTTTGTAAGCTTCTCTTGCTCTGTGGGCTTGCATGCGCAGTCGACATAGCATGATGGCTATTATACCGCCAAGAGAACTACCACCTGTCAAGTCAAAAATCTGGTGGCTGTCTAAGCGCTGCCCAACTTTGACGCAGATCGCGTTGACCAGCGATTCAACTAAAAGGAGAGCAGATAAGCCCCGGATACCGTCACCGTCAATGGAAAGCAGAATCTTCGTCTCTCTCGTTCTCGAAAGGATGGCTGGTAGAGGTGCTGCTTGGTTTGGTGTCGGATCATGTAAGGCGGGATCGATGTACTGCGAAGATGGGCGCATATTGTTTTCAGGAGCTGCTTGAACAGTGGGAGTCGATTCTGGCGGTATTTGGGTGGCGCCAGTTGGCGCCGCAGCTTGAAATGCGTACGGGGAAGCATACACGGTTGCTGTCGTTGCTGATGAAGGCGTACTATGATCGCGTGGCGAGCCGGGGAGAGCATTCTCAACCACCGTTGACGGTGAAGGTGTCATGAGACCTGCTACCGTAGTATGGGTGACAATCGGTTGTGATGGAGCCTGGCCGTATATGGGAGCTAGTGGTGGAGGGCCTGTAGCGGAGGGAGGTGGAGACGGCCATGGAATGTATCCAGAGTATGGATCCCGGATAAGTCGCAACTCTGCTTCTTCTGCAACGCGTCGGACATCCGGATCTTGAGCCTTGCTTCGATACGTTAGTCTCACTACAGGTGATATCTGGAGAAGACGCGCGACGTACTACTTCACGTAGCTGACGTCCCAAGGCTCCCAGCGACCGGACAGCAAGAACTGTATCGAGGAAGGAAAGGCGGAGTCATGAAAGTAGTGTGTGCCCTCTACCGCCGAGTAGCGGACACAGCTGAAGTCCACCGGAGTCCACGACATGCTGTTGTATGGTGGTTATAGCGCGTACCAGTGGACAAGCCGGTAGACGGAGAGCTGGAATTGAGGCAGCACTCAGCCTTGTACTGGCAATCTAGTGAGAGCAGCGGTGGATCAGACGGCAGTCCTAGGAAACATGCGGTAAGCCACTAGCTGCCGCTGGGAGCTAGACCGTTAATCAGGATGAAGTCGCTTCTGAGAAGGGCTATTGTATAGCCAATCGCTACGCGACAAACGGCCCGCCTGCAAGGTATACACTGCGCCAGCTCGTCAAAATATGCTGCTATGCGTAGCGCTTCAGCGAGAATGCGGCCGCGTTTGACCGGCCAGGCGAGGCCCTGTACGGGCAACGTGTATGGACGAGGCCGCTCGGCAATTGGGCAGTTTGATGGATCTGTGAGACAAGGGCTTTGTGATACCCGGCCCATCCCTGCGTGTGCGTTCGTCACGAAAAACTCCCATCGCAGAGGCGATCGGATCGATCGCCAGGCTCAAAGTATACTGATAAGGGAAGATCTCGGGTCAAGGGTGTATGCAACTGCTGAACATCGCGACTGCCTAGGTGAAGACGGGCGATTCGCTAGCGGCTAGTGCATGACCATCGCTGGATTGGTCCACGCCCGCGGCCCGCAGCGTTCCGCTTGCTCGGCTCTCCCCCTCAACAGCTTTTCACTCTTCAGCCACACATAGCCCTTTCGCGACACGAGTGGACTTGGACAGCATCTTGCGGCGTTGAGCTTAAACTTGAACTTTCCCGAAAGAGTTGGCGTGAGCGACTGCACGGTGACGGCGTAGTCGAACAAAGAACCTGGTCCCACCTGAGCAACGTTGGGGAAACCACTACAAACACCATTCGTCCAGAATAGACATGGAGTCAGGACAGAATCCACTCGGAACACTTTCGATTCTAGCAGTGGAACTGCGCGAGGCCATCTGGTCATATGCACTCACCGACACCACGATCGTGTACCATGCAATTACCGAAACGGTGCCAATCCCACTACTCGGCTGTTCCAAAGCGATTCGTGAGGAAGCCATATCCACAATACTCCGAGAGCGAAGCGTCACGTTCCAGACGCATGCTGCACTATCGGGCTTGCTCACGAATCACAAGAGCCAGCCAACAACAGACACGGTCAAGGATGCGATAGCCCCACAGAGTCCAGCTAGATTGCCGAAGAAGATCAGGTTGAAACTGTTCTCCGAGAACCAGAAACTGTTCAAATGTACCGAGAGCAATTGGCTGGAGTATACAGAGGAGGAGCCGAAACTTGCAAGAGAACTTGATGGTTGGCGGGAAGCGCTGCTGCAATATCCCATTACACATCTCACAACAATAATCATGGACTGCAATTCCAGTCCCACATACCATGGCGGACCGGGTTATGCACTTCCGTGCATGAGTACGTTCGTAAAGCGTGTAGCTACGCGTATTCGCATGGTGTCAAAGGGAAGATGCCAAATTTTACTAGTCGCACCGCCAGGCACCGTGAAACAGCTCATCTGGCACGCTGGTTCAGCCTCCTTTCTGAGGAGCTGGACGCCAACCGATGACGGGTGGTCTGCAAGGAAGATTCAAGAAGCGCTCGACAAAACGGTCGTTGCGAATCCGTCAACACCCACACAGAGGAGCAGAAAGCGACGACGGACTACGGCAACGATTGAGTAATTTCTGTCAACATAGAGTAAACTTTTGTACATATTGTGAAAATCTTCACGTTCCTTATTATGACTTATTACTCACATACGAAGTTACTGGCACCATTGCAGGCTTATGAAGTGCGGTAGTATGCATTACTCAGGGCAAAAAACATCGTCACGAGTTTCCCCCCGAAGTGACCTTCATGACCAACTTGCAAAGGCCCACCCGAAGCAAAAACAAAAAAAGAATGCATGAGATGCTCTCCAGCGGGGAATTGAACCCCGGTCTCCCGCGAGTTGTCTATGAAGATGACAAGCGGAAATACTGACCACTATACTACTGAAGATTGAGCAACCGAGACGGTTGAGTAGGTGCTTCGATGGAAAGCGTCGAAATTACAAAGTGTATAGACCATATTGCGTGCACAGCGAAGCGAGCGCTGCGGCGCCGACTCGCTGCGTCAATAGGCAAAAGTTATGCGTGCTGCATGCCCAGGTGTGGGCGGCTAGCCAGCTCTGGAGGGGCTATTTTAGCTACGGCACATGGCATGCGAATAGACGAATGCTGCTTACATAAGCTTCTGCAATTCTCTATGATCCATTTATACTCTTTTCGACTTGGTATACTTGAATACAAAAGCTTGGCCCAAGACCATGGTACACACTAGTTGGCACTATGCTCAGAAGCAAACCCCGGCTTGAATCAAACTTGGCTGTATTATGTGTACGGACCAAGTGGGTTGTGTTCTGCCGCGCCCTGCTATCACTCTCCTTCTTGATTGAGACCTTCCACCAGGGCTCATCCTAAAAAGGCCA